AGGGGCAGGGGGGAGTCCCTGTCCCTGGGGGGGTTTAAGGAGAGGCTGGATGTGGCACTTGGTGCTCTGGTCTGGCCCATGTGGGGGTGTGTTGGGGCATGGGCTGGATGATCTCGGAGATCTTTTACAACCTCAATAATTCTGTGATTCTGATTTTGGAGATTGGACTAATTGCCACGTTGTGCCCAGGATCACAGGCTGGGACTCAAAAACTGTTAGTGGTGTGGAGCAAGCGAGGCACAGTAGCCTGGAGCCTTTGTGATATAAACCTGTCTGTGCGTTGCGGCCATCCCTTACGCACTAGCTCTGTAGCAGCTGTGTCACCACCAGACCTGAAGAACTCACAGAAAAAACAGGTTACCGAGTCACTTCTGCCTGAATCACCACCCACGGTCACCTCCAGGTTAGCAGCTGCCCTTTGCACTAGCCCTTATTAATATGATGCCGTCAAAAAACACTCTGCCCAGTGCTCACCCGGGTTCATCATCTCCCTGGATGCCTGCAAATATCTTGGTGGGGGAGCTTGGAGGCAGAGCTTTAGTAGGGAGCTGGTTTCCTTCACGGGCAATCTGATATTACACCCATGAAATCTTATCTGAGAACCTCTGTCCACTTAGCGAGGCTATGCTGACATATCGCCTGATGACATATGAACCCTGGGAGAGACACATGGACAGCACTGAAAAAATATCCGTCACCCCAATTTTCGCAGAGAGAGCTGGGGAAATCCACTCTGTACCACGGCAGGGTGCCCACAAACAGGAGAAAAAGGGGCAATGCTCAATGGATAAATACACGCTTCCTGAGTGAGCCAGTGCTTCTCGGGCAGCATTCATGCTGCTTGAACTTGGTTATCCACATGAGCACTACATCCAGCCTTGAAGAGAGACATGGTTTGAGCTGGAGGAGGTTGCACCGTAGACTTTCAACCTGAACTTTCCTTTCAGCATAAACTCTTCTAAGATACCCAAGCTCCAGCCGTCTCTTAAACTTCAGCTGAAGGGCCCCTATGCGCTGCTGAAACGCAGTCTTGGCTCTGTTGGCTCTACTGATATCTCTGGGAGCCCACAGAACAAAAAGGACATGGGTCTGCTGGAGCGGGTCCAGAGGAGGGGCAGGAAGATGCTCAGAGGGCTGGAGCAGCTCTGCAGTAAGGACAGGCTGAGGGAGCTGGGGTTGTTTAGCTTGGAGAAGAGAAGGCTCCAGGGTGACCTAATAGTGGCCATGAAAGGGGCTACAATAAAGATGGAGAAGGGCTTTTTACAAGGGTCTGTAGTGACAGGACAAGGGGCAATGGCCTGAAACTGCAAGAGAATAGATTTAGATTAGGTATAAGGAAAAATTCTTCCCCATGAGAGTGGTGAAGCACTGGCACAGGTCGCCCAAGGAAGTTATATATGCCCCATCCCTGGAAGTGTTCAAGGCCAGGTTGGATGGAGCTTGGAGCAACCTGGGCTGGTGGGAGAGAGGTGCCCCTGCCCACAGCAGAGGCTGGAACTAGATGATCTTCAAGGTCCCTTCCAATCTTAACCATTCTATGATTCTATGGTGACTTCCCTGGGTGCTTAGTGCACACGGAGACACCACCTCAAACATGAATTTGCCCTGCTGATTTTTGCTCATTTGTCATTATAAATGCGTGTGGCTCCCTAAAGAGAACTCCAGGGAGTAACTCTGGTCACCTAATGTGTAAATAGTTCTCTGGTCGTGTCTTTTTCTCTCAATTGACGGCACAGTGGGATCTAGGCACCACGCACAAAAAACCAAGGTGCCTGAGTGAGAGATGAATGTTGGTATTTCTACTCTCCTCCAAGCTCTGGGGACTTCTGGGTGTCTTTTCAGCAGAGATATCCCCTTCTTCGAGGATTGGACTCCATCTCTGAAAGAAGAGATGGATAGCATCCAGAATGGGGGGCAGGGAGCTGTCAACCGTATGAACAGCCTTTCTAACAGAGTTGTGTGCTCTTGTGTTCTCCATCACTGCCCACATCTAATCCAAAACCATCCTATCAAAAGGCACTGGACATCAAGCAGGACAAACAGACTTGATGGATAGAATCCCAGATATGGGCTGTTAGCTGATACAGTGTGGGAAGTCTGGCTGCACTGTAGTTCCCTCCGGCTTGAAAATCTAGTAGTCTCTAGGATATTTTAATAATTAGATTTCCTGGTAGTTTTGAAAAGGCCTTCAAAGCAGGCTCTTACCTGAGTATCTGAAAACTGTAGAGAGTGATATCACATTTTCCATACTTTCATAGGCAATTTGAGTACATTAGTGAGTGTATTAGTGAATGCACACTCTGCATTTCTGCCCCAAAAATGTGCACCAGACTTCGCAGCACATAGCACACAGATTAAACCAGCACAGAGACCTGACTGCTGGCTCTAGTCCTGCCTGGGAGATGGTCTTCACAATGCTACTGTAGAAAAGAGATGCAGTTCTGGCTGGCTCCCTGTGAAACCCTCGATTTCTGAATGTCTGATTGGGTTGATCCGCTGGGCATGATACGACTGAGCTGACCTAAGACAACACACTGCTGTCCCCAGGGGTGAACTGTGAAGACCCCAGGAAACCCAGAGCTAATAAATCATAATCACAGATGAGGGAAGTACCTAGAGCTGCTCTGGGAGTTGTTCACTTTGTAATCTCACGCATGCAGCTCCTCATCCCTCCTCCACCCCTTGCTCCTCCAGCAATTGTCCACAAAATTTCTACAGGGGCTGTGTAGGGAGGTGGCACTGACTTTACTCATGACCTAACTCATAGGATCTTTCACTGGGGCATCCATAAACTCTGCAATGCGTCCTCTACAGCACAGAAGTCCTCCACCACTCAGATCCAGTTGAAGATAGAAACCTAGAAGATCAGTTCACTCAGGGTTTCCCTCACGTGGATTCCCCAGAGCAGGGGGTGCAGGTCAGAGCAAGGGAGGACACTCACATAGATGAGGTGCTCTCGATAGCGGATCAGCAGGTTCCTCAGGATTCCCGCCTCATTCAGGTCACCCAGACGGATCATGTCCTCCACTCCATGGATGGAGGTGGGGTGCATTGGTTTGATGTGGCTGGCGTTCTGTGGGGAAATCCAGTGCTCCTGGGAAGAGAAACAGAATCACAGAATCACAGAATCACAGAATCACAGAATCACAGAATCACAGAATCACAGAATCACAGAATCACAGTCTTAGGTTAGAAGGGACTTTAGAGATCATCTGATCCAACCCCCCTGCCATGGGGAGGGATGCCCTTAACTATCCCAGGTTACTCATCCAACCTGGCCTTAAACATCTCCAGGGAGGGGGCAGCCACAGCCTCTCTGGGCAACTTATTACAGAGTCTGGCCCCCCTCACACTGAACAATTTCTTCCTAAGATCCAATCTAAACCTCTTCTCCTTCAATTTAAATCCATTTCCCCTTGTCCTATCGCTGAATACTCTTGGCAAAAGTCCCTCCCCAGCCTCCCTGCAGGTTCCTATTGGGTATTGGAAGGCAGTGATAAGGTGTCCCTGGAGTCTTTTCCAGAGAAGAGAGCAAGGGCAGAGAAAAATAAGTCAACTGAGGTGCCACTGGGATGCGAGTCAGAAGCATCCCACCTCAGACAGAAGGACCAGATGGAAGAACATACACAGGACAGCATTAGCAGACAGGTCACAGCTTCTACTCCTGGGACATGGCAGTGACTAATCTGAAAGATCCATAGCAGAAAAAGGAAAACATCTTTTGGTTTACTGGAGCAGCAAGAGACATGAGACAGAAGCCATCCTGGCAGAAGCATCATCCAGGGCAGCACGGACATCCAGCACATCGGGGAAAGCTTTTAACACATCACAGATCTGTTCTTCCCTTCCCACAACTACATTTTCACAGCACTGCTTAACCCTCTGCCACAAAATACTGTTGAGCAGAGAAATGATGGCTGAGAAAAGG